GTCGGCAACCTCACCCAGGAAAATGCTTTGACTAATTTCGCTGCGGACCTAATCCGTGCTCTCGCTGAAGGAGCATTGGAGCCTTTGCCAGCCGGCTTCGTGGAGACGGTCATGCCGAAGTTGAACCGCCTGCTGCTCGATTCGTCCGACGCGGAGCTGATCCGTCCGGCTACAGAAGCCGTCCGCCATATGCTCTCTCATGACTTCAACCAGTTTGTCGCCTGGAGAGACCCGCAGAGCGGTAAAGAAGCCACTGAAGTTGCCTTGATCATTATTGACCGCTTGCTCGGACCGTCGGTTGATGACAATGCGGCGACCGAGGTTGGACAATTGGCTGCGGAGTTGGTGGAAAAAGCAGGCTCCGAACGTCTCGGTCCTTATCTACCGCAGCTTCTCCGTGCTGTGGCCCAGCGACTGGCTACTGCGGAGCAGGCTCAGTTTATCCAGAGTTTGATCCTTGTCTTCGCACGTCTCACTCTGATCAGCGCACGCGAGGTTGTGGATTTCCTTGCGCAAGTCGATATCGGCGGCCAGAGTGGACTTCCCATAGTGCTGAGCAAGTGGCTCGAAAACTCGGTCAACTTTGCTGGTTATGATGAAATCAAACAGAACATCATTGCACTAGCAACTCTGTACAGTCTGGGAGACCCTCGCTTGTCCGAGGTTCAGGTCAAGGGTGATCTCATTATCCAGGACACTGGCCGTATCAAGACGCGATCCCAGACACGCAACAACCCTGACCGGTACACTACAGTGACGGCTCCCTTGAAGATTATCAAGGTCCTTGTTGAGGAGCTGGCTGCTGCATCCGGCAACAAGGAAATCGATGCGGCCACGGCGGCTGCTCTGGAGGAAGAGGGTAGCGATGATGACGACGAATGGGAAGATATGCCCGGCAACACCCTTGACCTCAATCTGGGTGTCACCAAGCAAGAGCTGATGGCATTCGGCGAGGGCGGATCGGAAAGTGTGTTCGGGGTACGCAGACGCGACGACGAAACGCAGGCCTTCCTGTTGAACTTTTTCCGTGAAGCAGCCACCAAGCCTGAGTTCGAGCAGCTCTATGCAGCTTTGACTCCGGCCGAGCAGGAGAAGCTGCAAAGTTTGAACTGATCCGGCTTGGCAGCTGTCGACAGGTTGATACCATCTTATGAACAAACATTATCCTTTCTTTCTTTCAAGTTCTGTTTATGCCCCCCTCAGCCGATGCTGGTAATCACATATGAAACCTGATAAATGCATGCATAGGTACACCTAATGATTGTATGAACAAGCGGTACATCAATGATCGCAATCAATCCTGCTCGTGCCGATAAGACAGCGCACTTCGATCCAACAATTCCGTAGGACCACATTTAGTAGAAAAAAACAGTCCGACCCGACCCAAGAAACGTCAACGACGCCATGCACCTTTCCTATAGTGTTTCACCTGACATTTAGTCTAGTCAGTTAGTAAGTTAGCTAGACACCTGCAGCTGACAACAAACCAACACGTAGCCGGGTGTCCGGATCATCCCGATAGTCATGCATTTACTCCTTCGGGCTTGGTCTTGAGGGTAGAAGAGGGGGGGATGGGGGGATGTGGTCGAACGATGATGCTTCCTGCAGGAAGAAATATCCCTAGTGCACACACTAAACTAAGTACTAGATAGCCCACCCAGTGATCCAGGCGTCTGTTGCCCCATAAAAAGTCGATATAGACGTTGCAGCTAGTTAGTTAGGCCTGTGATTGATTACGTGCCCCCTCCCAAGTACGTTAATACCTATCACACATCGCATTACTTGAAAATATTGATTAATTGTTCATGAACCAGTTGGTAGTAGATAGAAGTGTTAAACTAAGGAGTGGCGGGCACACTGTCAGTTTTTTTATTGTGGGTCTAGAGTTGAGAGAGGCTTCACCGCAGGAGGGATTTTATACTGTTGAGATAGATAAGGATTATCTGGTAGGTACTGTTTTTGTGTATGTTTCACATTCATCACATAGTAGGTAGTTAAGTAAGTATTTGGGTTTGTGTGTCTTTCTGTCCTCGGCTATTTGGTCCTTGGACTTACCAGTCTGGTAAAGAAGTGTAAGTAAATTCGGTGTCCACATCTGCTTCTGACATCTTCTCGCTTAGTTTACTGTTAGGCATATGATATTAATCATACCATTTTTCGCGCAAACTATCGTTAGTGGAGATACCCATCGTGACTAGCTAGGTAGTATTTAGGATGAAAAGACCCGACCCAGAGCATCAGCACTTAGTTGGTTCATCTATCTACCTAGTCTAGATAGATAGTAGTAGTAAGTAGTAGCTGCATGCGATGAAGTGGCTGATCAACTGGCGTGATTGGGATCCCGAAACGGGACCAGCCGTCACGGGGGAGCGGGGCTGGCCTGGGCTGGGCTGGGGCAGCGCTTGGCTGGACAGCCTTACTGTCTTTTCTCTACAGAGTATAGAAGTCAGTTGGTTTACTATTTTCATTTTATCTATCCGTAATGTATTATATGGTGGTGAGTGTCATCCTCTTATCTACAATTTATCGTTGTTTGTCTTTTTCTGTGGTAAAGTTAGCTACAAAGTAGTTAGCAACAAGCCACAGCCCAAGCGTGCGGAGAAAAATTGTCTGAGGTTACATAAACTACGCAGCTGAGATCCCAACTAGCGTGGAACCAGAGTGAGGGGATTGGGAGAGGATCAATTCCAAATTCTTTTAGGGCACACACTAGTAAGTAGCAACTGCGGGCTGTCTGGACCAATCTGTGGAAAGCATCTAACTATGCTTGTGTGGATGGGCTAATTGCGCGAGAAAGAGAGTTAGTAGTTGAAAATAGATACATTTTTAGTAAGGAAAGTTGATCCATTTTCCATGGTTACTGTCAATATGATGGATGGCCTGTCCGGAAAAGACCCGACCAATAGAAAGAAGGAATGGGGTGGTTACCAACAAGACGGGAATTGAAATTTGACTGACGATACCAAGCAATACCGGGCGTCAACCCCGACCCAGAGCCCTGGCACCAAGCTAAGTAGTAGCCTTCAGCTACTTACTTACTTACCTCCAATATTGTGTGCTCACCGACCCGAGGGCCTGTTCCCCGGGACCGCCTCCCCCTGTCCGTGCCGCAGTTACCCGTATCTTACCTGGAAGTTTAGTTATCCTATCTTGTAGTAGTAGTTGACTAGTCAATTAGCCATTTCCCAAAGCTCTCTTTCTCTCTCTTTTTAGTGGAGTTAATTGCTGTTCTGTTCTGCTCTTGCTCTACCTCTGCTCTGCTTCTTTTCCCACTTCTTTGTGCTCCGTCACTTATTTATTTGTCTACTTAATTACAGCTTCTTCTCTCTCGCTAACTATTTAAATTCCCCGTTGTAAGCTCACAGCTGCGGGTGCCATCTTTTGAAAGATCCCACTTATTCGTCTCCCTCTCTTTCACTCTCTCCTCACTCCCTCCTCCTCCCTCCTCCCGCATTGTCTCCGCCCGTCATTTCAAACATGCCACAGCCAGATTCAGAGGAACACATTCAGGTAGATGTAAGACATTCCACCATCTTTCCGACAATTATACTTCAATCTATGTGTTTTCTATTTTTTGCGTGCATCTCCGGTTGTTTATGCAGCCACTCAGCACTTCGCCTGAGAGACATCGATCAATATGACGCGATGCTTTCGGAGTTGTGATTTGATTGTATTGCAAATACCAAAGAGCACTCACTTCAGAGTTCTATGCTCAAATACGGCCATTAAACTGACTCCTACAGACAAGCGACGAAGACTCCCTCATAGATGAGCAATCCATCATCGAATCCAATATTTCAATAACGTCATCTGTACGAGATTACTGTTACGAAAATGGCCGCCGCTATCACGCCTACCGCTATGGGCAATATCCCATGCCCAATGACGAAGAAGAGCAGGATCGCCTCACATTAATGCATCATGCCTTCAAGCTCCTCTTGGGGGGTGATTTATATCGCGCCCCGATAGGCGAACCCCAGCGCATCTTGGATATCGGCACGGGGACGGGCATCTGGGCGCTGGAAATGGCCGAAGACTTTCCCAACGCGGAGATCGTGGGCACCGACCTAAGTCCGATTCAGCCCAAGTGGGCGCCGCCAAACTGCAGCTTTCTTGTTGATGATGCGGAAAGTGATTGGGCCTACATCGGCAATGAACCCTTCGACTATATCCATGCTCGCAGCTTGGGTGGCAGTATCGCCGACTGGGGCCAGCTCCTTCGTCAGGCTTACGAGAATGTGAAGCCCGGCGGCTGGGTCGAAATTCAAGAATCTGAGACCTGGGTACATTCCGATGACGGCACCTGCAAAGATGCTGTTATGGTCAGGGAGCTGCAGCAGAAGTTGGAAGAGTCAAGTACGAAATTTGGGAGGCGCATGAACATTGCCCCTGAAGTGAAGGGTTACATGCAACGCGCTGGTTTCGTTAACGTTGTGGACGATATTTACAAGGTCGGTCTTTACAGTTCTTTTCGGATTTGGATTCAGCTAATTGAAGTAGTGTCCTGTAGGCACGTGGCCAAAGTCCCCTCGTCTGAAGGAGATCGGACGAGTGGGGAAACTGATTCTATATGACTCGGTCGAGCCATATTCGCTAGCTCTCTGGACCCGTGTTCTGGGATACACCTATGAGGAAGCCCAAGCCTTCGTGAAGAAGGTGCATGCGGAGCTTGCAAGTTCCACCTACCACATCTACATATTCTTCCATTATGTGTATGGACAGCGACCATTAGACGGATGATGACGATACGATTAGACTATGTGACGGCCGTGACATGCTTTATGCCTATGCTCTTTTCATTTTTGGCGTCAAAATAGCGGCGGGTACATTATTCTTCTTTATGACGATACCCTCTTTCTGGGCATATATATGAATGTTCTTGATATTCGAGCTCGATGCATATGCATGCTTAATGAATAGAAGTTTCGGTGGGACACAATGTCCTTACATCCACATCCTTCCTCCTTATTTACAAAACACCCACCCCCGATTGCACCCTCTTAACCCTGCAAAGAATACCCAACCCCCTCCCCACTCCCCATCGCCACCAAATTGGCACGCATCTTCTCCGGCCTCTCCCCAATCCCAAAAGCCGCATCCTCGCGATGCACCCAAGCCCCAACCCCATGCTGCAACACCGCCGTAGCCCTCACCTTCTTATCCTCAGACGGAGCATTCAGCCCCAAACTCCCATGCAACGTAAGCCTCGTCTCCTCCCCACCCTCCTCCTTACACTTATACACCCCGCGATGCAGAATATTACTATCATAAAACACCGCATCCCCAGGCTTCAACTGAACAACCAACTGCCCAGGCAACTCCGGCTCATACGGCGCCGCATTGCGCTCCACTTCCGTGCGCACCCTTCTATGCGACCCCGGAATCACAATCAAGGACGAATCCTCACACAACGCCAGATTATACTGCGCATGCGACTGTTTCCCATTCGGACTCTTATCCTGCAGCATCTTCAATTCTTCCTCAGGGGTTGCCGTCTCGGGGATATCGTCGCGGTGCCAGCGCAGCTCGAAATCTTTGGTCTCCGGCGCGACGAGGAGGTTGAAGAGCTCCATTACCAATGGTTCGGGCGTATCACCGTTGGTGTTGGTGTTTGATGTCAGACCTAGTAGTTCCTCCGCCACGGCAAGCACCTTCTCGGAGAAATAGAACTTGGCGAATTCACTTCGCCCGGGCATCTCCGGGTGCAGGAGGTGCTGCACACCCCAGATTCCGCCTTCGGAGGCGGGAGGAGGGGTCGTCGGCCATGGTGGGAATTGCTTCGGTACTGTGCGGAAGTGTGGCCATTTTCCGGTCCGCGTGAGGGTGGTCGCGTGCGTGGCTGTGGTGCGGTAGTGGGCGATTTCGTCCGCGGTGAGGAGTGAGGGGATTACGACGAAGCCGTCGCGTTGGAGGGCTGTGAGGTGGGGAGTTGAGGTCATTGTTGGTTTTGGTGGTGGGTTGGATTGGGGGTGGTGGTTGTGGTTGAGGTGGTTATGTCGGGGTGATGGCGGGGAGATAAGTTAGGCGGGGAAGAGAAGATTGTTGTTCCACTGGAATTGAACTACAAAAGATAATGGAATTGGGATTGGGACAATGGTATATATAAGGTGTCTTTATTATTCGAAGGTTGACTGGTATATGGGGGATGTTGTTCCCATTACACAACAATGTGGTATACGCGATGCTACCTTGTCTGTCAGCCACATGTTACCCTTCCACTTGTTCAATTTTGTGGTCTGATAAGCATTGAAGAGATCACTGTTTACTAGTACTTTGTAACTAGTGTTATTGGGGTAAGTCTGAGTAATGGGCTCAAGTCCGGCGCTGATTGATTGATTACCCCGCGGCGGGCACAAATTAATCCCTGATCGATCAGTCATCAGGGCGGGGGAGAGATTTAGTGACAGTAAGCTGCACTGACCTTTCATTCCATGGTTACATTGTGTGATTGACTAGTGGTTAGTATCTACTAACATACAAAGTTGTACATATAGTAAATTTTGTTGTATAAAATAGACTGTAATTATTGTCATACACATTGATTTGCTTTCATTGATTGCTCTCCGGACATTTCAATCACGATGACTGATGAAAATTACACATTCAGCGCCTACCGAAACAAATCAGACAACCAATCCAGTGGCTGGTAAAAAGGGCCCACTTTCCCAACATCCGAGAATGACGATCAACAGAGCAAGGACCATATGACGAAAGTCTTCACTTGGCAGTCCCGTTCCGATTGTTAGCGGTGACTGCGGTGACTGAGCAGATGAAAGGGTGCAGACTGATACAGTCAAGAGTCAAACTATGTATGCTGAGGAAGGGTAGTAGTGTTGTGGCTGTTTTTAGTATCTACTCCATGTGTTGTTGATTGTAAATACGAAAATCTACCTTCATCTCCGTTGAGAAAACCATATCAACAATGGTCAGATGGAGTAATGCCAAGCAAAGCCACCGACAACGCCCATGGCTCCCACTGAAACCACATTATTACGGAAAAGAAAAACAAACCACCTCGCTTGTATTTATCGTATGGGAATTTTCAGCTGGCAAGTGTCATCTGAAAAGGTGGCAGGGCCTCAATCACAGCCGAGCTGACAGCCTCTAAGCCACCGGCGACCAAATCATATCATCATCGCAATGATCCGGTCTCCCACTTGACTCGATGGCGGGGCATTTCAGGGTCTTTCCTTCCCCTCCTCCTCCTCCTTAGATCTACTTTGTATCAATCTAGTTCTAGCTTGGTCACCGGTTGCAGATCGATGACACACAAGTTCATCAAATCACTACTAACGGACTACGTACCCCTCGCTCTCGTGCCGTTTGGACTTCTCCCAATTTGGCCCGCTTTGTCTTTGTCCCAACTAGTAGCAGCTTAGCTCCTTCTGTCTGTTGATTCTGCAGATAAGATAACTCTCGGCTTTTTTTCTTTTTGCTATCTAACCCCCTCTCCTTCGCTTCTGCATGCACGTCTCCCACCTCTGCAGCCTGTCATTCTTCTAGACTCATTCCTGTCCATTCTTTCTCCTGCATCACCCGCAGAACGCTACTTACAGCTATGGCTCCGCGAATGAGTCTGGGCACTCACGCCCTGCTCGTTCTGGGTCTGCTGCTTGTTGTACTCCCCAACCAAGCCTGGGCTTTTGGAGCTGGAAGTATGCTTACACCTGCTTCATTCAGTATACATCATCAATTTGCTAACACGCGCAGACATCGCTTCTATTTCCGCCGTTGAAGGCAAGAACTGGCGCCATGGAGATATCGAGGACATGCTCAAGACCATCGCTTTCATCAAGGGCCACAAGTGGACCTCCATGATGGTCAAGCGCGTGTACTTTGGTAACTGGTTGCGCGATTAGTGAGTATTTCCGCCCTTGTTGTATGGAGATTCATACTGATCGATACTTTGCTGTTAGCTCACAAGCTATGGACGTGGGTACGCTGAAGAGTCTCCCGGCTGAGACTATTCGCATTCTGGTCTGGATTCTGTCCTTCATGACATTCGGCTATGCGACGGCTGAGTTTGAGGTCACTTCGGAGAGGTTGGGCGTTTATCGTCCTGAGGAGCATATTGAGTATGTCGTTCTCCGATCCTCCATGTTTTGTTGAATGTATGCTTATGATCTTACCTGTGCAGTAACCCTAAGGATTATGCCGATAATCAGGATGCTCGCGAGTTCGATCAACGACTGCGGGGCCCTGTCCGCCAGGTCGAGCTGGATATCGACCCCGAAACTGGAATGAAGAACTACATTGCGAACGAGGAGGGCGGATGGGCTACCAGCGCGGCTTATATCAAGTATAGCTTGGCTCGCAGCATTCATTATGGACGCACATATACCCATGGAAGCAAGAAAGGGAACGAGGAAGATCTCTGTGAAGCGCTTCGGTGCTTGGGCCAAGGTCTCCATACGTTGGAAGATTTCGCAGCGCATACCAACTATATTGAACTTGCGCTTCGTGAGATGGGTTTCCGCAATGTCTTCCCTCACACTGGTGTGGACACCCAGATGAATATTCGCGGCCACCATGTGTTTCCGCTTGTGACTGGAACGTTTGGTATGGTTGATTTCTTCCACTCCGTGCTGGGAGAAGCCAACGATCACTTTACTCAGTCGGAAGTCAACGAGATGGACATTGCGCTCGGAGATGCGGAGGCAAACTCCTCTGGCGGGTCTCTTGGTGCTTTCACTGGTCTTTTGGGCAATATTCCCGGGACAAAGGACCTGGTGGAGGAGGCGGAGGAGCTCAAGCGTCGTTCTGAAGCTCAGGAGTCTGCGAACCGCTCTTATGGTGCTCGTTCTGGTTATACTACGCGCGGCGTCTCTAGGGAGGTGGATGACTACAGCGCTCCGCGTAGTCGAGGATTCGATGATGAGGTCCCAACTTACAGAGCTAACGAAAATGAAAGACCTGGAGAGAGCTCCCAATCTGAATCTGCTCTACAGGACTTTGATCCCAGCAAGACCATTGCCCAGATCTATCCCATTCTTGAATTCAGAGACAAAGTTGTCCGCAAGCTCGCATCGATTATTGAGAAGATCCCTGGCTTGGAGGCAATCGTTGAGAAGATCACTGAGACGTTGACCGTCTTCGTTATGTCTCTGCTGGCACCGTTTATCCGCCCCCTCATCAACGCCGCTTCCAAGTCTTTGCAAGCTGGATCTTCCGGTGTGATTGATGCCTCCGGAAAGCACCAGTATGAGCCGTGGACTGACCCCAACTGCACGGATCCTACCCATTCGCTACTCTCCAAGGACCACTTCTCTAACATTCTCAATGAGCCAGCCGGTCATGTTGCCTCCGCTATTCTTAAGTACGTCGCACCTCGGGTTCTGTACGCTTGGCAGAACCTGGACGTCTCCGATGATCAGGTATTGGAGGACTGTCTGAAGGTGTTTCACCACCCGGCTCTGCGCAACATGAACAACGAAGCTCACCGCACAATGTTCAAAGCCGTGCAGGCCTGGGTTGACTCCAGGCCGGACCGTGGTGCTGATCTGAACGATGTTCTCAGCGCTGAGGGAGTAAGACAGGGAAAGAACAGCACCGGCGAGGAAGGGGGCCATTCACACTCACACGGTGGTGGTGGATTTGGTGCTGCAGGACACAGCCACGGATCTCAGCAGCAGCGTCCGCCTCAGCAGCAGCAGCAGCAGCAGCAGCAGCAAGGCTCGTCTCCTCTCCCCTGGGACAAGCTGTCCAGCCTTCCCATCCCGGGGATTTCCAATCTCAACAAGTTGAACAGCGCCTTCTCCAATCTGATGGTAGGTGGAGGCACGAGAGGCGAGACCGAGGAAGCCGAGAACCCAACTCAGTATGAATCTCGCGTGGAGTCTCAATATACTACGCATCACCAGTCCTCGCATCATGAGTACAGCAGCTACCAGCACCAGTACCAGAGTCAAAGCCAGAGTCAGTATCATCACAGCCAGGAGCAATCATACCAACCAGCTCCTCCTCCCCCATCTGGCTTTGACAGCTACGGCGGCTATGATGATTACAATGGAAGTCAGCGGAGGCACCATGGAGAGCATCATCATAGTCATCACCATCATTACCCACCACCTGGTCGCACCCCTCCTCCTCCGGGCCCGCCTGGAGGTTACGAAGAACAGTCCTACAGTTCTTACTCCAGTTATGGACGTGGGAACGGACATAGTCAGGACTACTATGGGGGGAACTATTGATGAGTCGCTACGCTAGCAAGTGTACTACTTTATTTTAGCAAGCAATAGACTGATATGATTTGATGCCTCGCAGAAAGCATTCTCCTGACATAGACATGTAGCCCTCAGATATCCCCTAGCAAACTGAAACCCGGTAAACTGTCTGTCCCTTAGCAAGAACAATCCATTTACATCAAATGTTATACTATGTTCCTACACATGAACAAACCTCACTAGGTAATTAGGCTATTAACCATACTCAAACCTCCACTATCACTGAAAGAAGACGGAAGATTAATTCGTTTACAAGCAGTCACCTCATTTAATAGTAGTAGGTAGGTAACTAGTAAGTAATTAATAGTCATCTTCAACATCTAATTAGTGGGGCAAGGGGAGAAAAGAGATAAAGAAAGAAAAAGCAAAAAAAGAAAGCCCAACGCGGGGCTCGAACCCGCAGCCTTGAGATTAAGAGTCTCACGCTCTACCGATTGAGCTAGCCGGGCTAGCTCGGTGATAGTGCTTTTGTATAATACCAGTATGAACCATTGAGAGGGGTTGGGGAGAGCTTTAGGTCTAATGTTCGAGTCGAGAGTACATACATACAAATTAACAAATGAATAAATAGGTATGTCCAAAAGTCGAGGGATAGCCGCTGATTGAATCACATAACATCGAAGCTCATCTAATTATCTGGAAAATTATTAATTACTTAATTTAATTTATAGGATGTACTGTATTTTGTAATCCGCATGGTGCTGGGGATAGGTCTTTGGAGGTGCGTTAGTTTTGCTGGTATAGTTGGTTTGTGGTAAATGATTACTAGCAAGCTAGTGAGTGGATGTTGTGTAAATTCATGTATTGAAGTATTGATTTGAGACACCCGGAATGTCTAGTATATACAATTCAGAACTGAAAACATATGTACAGTGCAACAACATACATGGCAAGGGTGCATCATGATGGGATATATCGCCGCTGGATATTCTGTAGTTGTGTGCACATAAAGGCATTTAGCCACACCACATATGACCTGCACTTGCAGGTATGGAAAGAGAAGAACAACCAGAACCGGGCCAGGGCAAAAGAACAAAGCAAAGGATATCATATCACATCATGTCGCAACCATGGATTCGCCAAGCACCGATCATTAACCACATGTATTCGGGCAAACCAAGTGGATAGCGAAGAAAAGACTCAAAGTAACAAACGCCGTTACCCAATTGCAAGGCACCAATGTGAGGGACGAATGTTGCCTATCATAGTTTAGTCCCCTCTCGTCCGCTATCGCTGAGTCTCCGAGGCCGGAGAAAAGCAGTAGACGGGCCAGCGGTGCTACTTGGCCCTGATGCAGACGCAGGATTGCTACTGCCATTGGCGTTAGTTGGACGTGCACCTGCTCGCTGGCCCTGATGCAGACGGGGGTTCAGGAGCCATTGAACCTGCATGCGAATGCTGCCCACGGCTGCGTTGGTGTGCGCCATATCTTCTTTTAAGCGAAGACATTCGTTCATGAGAGCCATGCTGGCGCGGGCGTCTAGATCCGTGATGGCGTTGGAGAGCTGACCAACCTCCTCGCGGAGAGATTCATGGAGAGAGAGCAAGTAGTTCGTTGTAGTGGCGGTATAGAGGTTGGAGCTGTCGATCTGAGATTGGTTGCTGGTCGAATCTCGTCGACGAGGGGCGTCGGAATTTGTCGGGGAGTCTTGCTCGGCTAGAGTACGAGTTGACTGGGCTAATGTCGATCGGATGTTGGAAATTCCGTCCTCGAAGATCTCGTTCCGCTGTTGAAGGTGGCGGATAGTAAGTTCAAGGGAATCCAGTCGTGCATTCTGCGCTTCAAAATACGGGCCCATGGCTATCAGTGGACAGGTCTGTTCGTGTGTCGTCAAGTCCGCACGCTTCACCTTGACGGGGCAGCCGTACTTCGATGCCGCGCAAGGATGGACAACCTCGGGACAGGAGTCGATGTGTTCTCGTAGTGATTTGCGTAGGACGTTTATCTGACAGTCGGGACATGTTGTTTTGAGACTCGGGCATAGGTCCTTGACATGTTCCTGTAGCAAAACTTAATTAGCAATGTTATATGGCTTGGAGGCAACATCCATACCTCGTAGTCTTGTTCCGCGACGTACTCGTCGCATCGCAGACAGCGTTGAAGCTCATGCAAGCACCGACCCTCAGAGCTGAGGTCCTTCTTCCGGGTCTTCTTGTTGCAAGAGCTATCCGGGCACTTCATGAGCCTGTAGCCACAATACTTGTCGACATGAGACTGAATATGCCCTCTCGGTATAATCTCCTCGCAACCTTCATCCCGAAAAGGACATCGCACTTTGATATCATCACACATATTGAGTAGCAAACGAGGCACGTTGAGGTAGACACCCTTCGTTGGGGTCCGGCAAGTAGGACAGGTGAAGTCGTCTCGACCGGGGGAAAACGGACTGGGGGAGAACGCAGTGATGGCAGTGTTTAGGCACTTCTGACAGAAGATATGATCGCACTGCAGGCGCACGGGGCGAACAAAAGGGCAGTGACATATGGGGCACATGAGATGGTCATCGTAGCTGGAGACCAACTCCAGTGAGCGCAAGTCGACAACTTCGTCTCGGTCGCAGTTCGCCTCCATCGCGAGCGACTCGTCGAGAGTGATGGATGTCATACTTCCAAACCCCCTTCCCACGCAGGAAGGGTTCAGCTTATATTGTCAAGCCACGGGCTCGTGCGCCGATCGAAGTAGTCCTGCACAGGGGGGTAAGTCTAGAAATGAAGGGACCGACCGTCCAGATGCCACAGGGGTCGGATGATGAAACAATAGCACAAAGCAAACGCCCATGTATCCTAGAAAGTTACACAGTGGCTGACACGAAGGTTTGACTAAGAGAAGAACAAAAATTCAGGGGGGGAGGGTGGCCGCAGGAGGTGGACGTGAGGAAAGTGAGGCCATTGCGGGGGAAAGCAAGAGAGAGAGGAATGAATGTGGATAACCATGAATGACGGCGAGATATGGGAAATGGAGACGATGGCGGCGGAAGCGGCAGATCTGCCGAGAACGAGGCCCTCTGGGTTGTATCCATTCCATCCACCCGGGCTGGTCCTCTGGCTTCAGCAATATCCACTTCATTGCTCCATCATTTGGTAGTCCCTGCGTGGATGTACTGTACTTCTCCCCCTCCCTTCCCTGTCATCTGCAAGTCGCCGCGGTTCCGACATCTCCGCATTGCCTGGGCTTGACCGACGCTAAGACAACCTCACAGCCTTGTCCACCCTCTCCTCTCTCTCCTCATCCGGCTCTCCCCCAATACCATCCTCACGCATTTTCAAACACTATCACATCCCTCTCCGCCATGCCAAACCCTTCCCAACTCCTGCTCCTTGCCGACCATATCAAATTATCGCTCCTCGAACGGCAACGAGCCATCTCGCTCGACCTAGAACCCAACAGTCAAGATGGCGAGATCTCACGCTCCCTCGACTCCTTGAAAGAGGGCATCGATGCCGTGGAATCCGACTGCGCACGACTAGAAGAAACCAACGATGAAAGCGCCACCGAGATGAGAGACCAACTCGACCACCTATACTCCCAGTATCGAGACCTGACATCCCAATTCCGCGGCTCGGATGCCGCAGCAGACGACGATCCCGTCGAGTTCACCAACATCAAGAAGTCATCACCGGACCTGAAACAGCCCGTCCCGCAACATCCTTCTTCCAAATCAGTCCGTTTCATGGATAATGCCGCCGAAGAGGACGATCTCAATCGCCGCAACCTTTTCCAGCCATACCGCGACTCGCCCTCCCCACAGGGCGTCGACACATCCGACATGTCCAATCAGCAGGTCTACGATCATCATGAGCAGATCATGCGCGACCAAGACGAGCAGTTAGACCGACTCGGCGAATCTATCGGCCGACAACATCAGCTCAGTATCCAGATCGGGGATGAACTTGAGGGCCATGTTGCGTTGCTGGACGACATGGATGGCCATGTGGAACGGCATCAGGGTCGGTTAGACAAGGCCAAACGCCGGCTGGATAAATTTCGGCGAAGTGCGAGTGAGAATTGGAGCATGATGACAATCATCGGGTTGATCATCGTCCTCGTCATACTGATCGTCCTGCTCAAGTGAGTGTGGGTGTGGACCCCCTCCTCTCGTATATGATACTTCTTGTCATGACACTGTTGTTGTGTGATCGGGATTACTACGGAGTACTCTGTTGATGATTCCCGGGGCGAAATGGCGTTATTTGCGTTGAATTGGAGTTGTCCATACTACTAAGCCATCGGGTTGGTGGAAGGGATTCTGTGGCGTTACATTAGGTATATTTGCTTTGCAGCTTAACACTCTTACAGTCCACCCGGCATTTGTTTCGAATACACTATATATCATTCCTTTGAATTACTCTATAGCAGAGCCAAATACAATTTTCCTGCTTTTGATACCATATTATAGAAGTAGTAATATATCCCTCAGAAGTACTTCATACAAATGACCCATCATATCAGTCAGTCCCAACAACTCGTAAGTAAGCCAGCCACCCGACCGAGGAACAACAATCAACATGGATAAAAAAAACAGTTTCATTTCATTGCATTCTCAGAACCCATCCCTTAAGTAAGTAGTAAAACAATTTATTGAGTCTTGTTCACGGGCCCATCCCTATTCGGCAACCCTTTCGTCCGTTCCTGCATGGCTCCGAAGTTGTTATCATCACTGTCTACTTCGCCGCGATCGGCTTTGACCTGTTTCATTGAAACAATACATTAGCATCAGAAAGCTGGTAATATAAGTTGAGTAAAACCTACCGACGCCTCACTATCACTAGCGATTTCCTGCTTCCATTTGGCTTTGCCTTCCTTGCTGCTCTTTACTTGGTCGTGTTTCTCGGCCTCGTAGATGTTGGCGAGGTCGTCGCGGTCTGGTTGATTTTGAATCATATTAGAGGATACTTCTGGCTGGGAAGAGTTGGTGGGTGGTATATGGACTGGACTGGACTCACTGTGATCGGATTCCTTCAAGCCTGGACGAGGAATGCTGGTGTGGAGAGCTGCTGCAGGAGAGGTGGTGGTGGTGTAGGCAAAGGCAGGGCGGGAGAGGCGGAGGGTAGTTGCGCGGATGGGGGTGAGGAAGGACATTTTGGTGGTTGTAGTTGTAGTTGTAGGTGTTGTATCTGGATTGAGGTTGATGATGTTGTTAGTTTAGTTCTTCTTGAATCGAAAGCAATGGATGGCTGGTTGAGGATAATGTAGTATATGGTGAAGAAGCTATCTCTTCCCACACCTAACAACCACCATTCTCGATAAATTGTGCATGGCAGTATACTTACAGTTCTCAAGAAGTAGTTTCAGTAATCCCAACGAGGGATATATGATAGATTGTGTAGATAAGTGGCAATCTCTAGATGTAACTGGATGATAGATAGATAGAAAAGGATGGATAGCGGCGGCCTTATGTACTTATATCATTCCCTCCTCCCCTCCCCCAAGCGAGAACTTCCTTCCAGCTGCCAATCATCAGTTCCAGGGAAAAGAGAGTCCCGTTCGACCTCGGGTGAATCAGTTGGCAGCCATTACTCAATGCCAGTTTTGGGACGAATTGCTGGCTGTAGTAGCGGTGACGTCATGGAGTCTGTTGCGTTTCGGGATGTAGTCTACGGAGTAAGTATCTCCATCCTCCGTTCTAATCTACGGGGTGGATGTGATATTTTTGGTTAAACGATAGAAACTGCTTTATTAGTATAGTAATCATTCATGTTGATTCTGTAGTATTATCAGAGAAAGGGAATTTGATGCTGTCTTCGGAGAAAGTGTTGCTGGATGCAAGAGACTTCAGTGTCTTCCAGGTTCGAGGCCGCAAATCAAGGATATGACATCACGTACTTTGAACCACTCCTCCTATGCCATTACAACCAGATAAGTAGGGGATCACCACATGAGTGAGGAAGAGACTATCTTAGTATTCTACTGCTTTCTCGTCATTTGAATGTATTCGCTGCATTCAGATGCTCTCAATGCTTTGTTTCGTGAGCGTTGTGGGTTGGTTCACACCCGTTACAGGGCCTACGAATATATATCCGCCTGAGCCTCTGAACAGCATCGAGCGTCAACCACTCAACCCCAACTAAAATACGGCAATCTGATAATTACAATTTCATCAAAAGCTAGCCGTTGCGATAGCAACCGTTATACTCTATTGCCCCTCAATCTGCAACCTGCATGATACAATATCACCCCAGATTATGAGGTCATGTGGCGGATTTCTACAACGCTGCACTTATCACCAAATTACTATCATCCCTACATTTACTGTTGAAAAGTCTCACGACTGAATGGAGTCCAAAGCTAATTTCACAACTATGTATAGGCATTACCCCCCATAGTTCCAGCCAATAAGCGTATAGACAAAGGAGATATGGTAAGAGACGGAATACCCAAGAAGCGAACAGAATCAGGAAGATCATACACTGCATCACATTCTCCAGGAGTCCCCAGGAGTCGAAGAACATGACTTTAAGAAAACATCCGAACGAATCAACGTGGAGGCGAACAGAAGCGAATTATGTCGTCAACTGACAACTCCCATCAAGACAGTGGTCTATCTCGCGAAAGAAGGCGAGTGTGACCCCCAGCAAAAATCAGGAAATAAAGAAAAACTCCTCATCCAATCCATGGATTTTCACAGCCAGTTGACCTGAAAAGTAACAAGCACCGCGTGTCACCAATTCCCCAACCAACCCATATACATGGTATAACAAACAGAATTTTTCAAGAAATGAAAACATATGCGAAGTGTAGGTCGAAACCAGCCAAACATCCCAAACAACTCAGCAAAGCCCAATCAATGCAGACGTATATATCGTTTCCGCCTTTCTAAATCCCTGAAAAGCATGAGAAAATGATCCATCCCACCCAAAAATCTGACAAAACACCAAGCCGAAAAGATGAGGTATAACCGCCAACAGCAAATCTGGCATAGCCGCCGTGGGAAACCAAAAAAGCAACTCCGGTCCATAGATGCGCGCCTGAATGGCCGATCGCCGCGCTTTCTATACATCATCGCGGCCAAAACTCGAGGTCAAAGCACAAAAGGGTTTCCCTAACCGTAAGATAAAAACAAGGTATCGTTTGAGGTGGAATGCAAAAATCGAATATCGCAGGCGCCGTCGCTCGCAGGAAGCCGAAAGCATCAGTCTAGGTATAAGTTGCTCGAGTCGTCATCGAAGTAAGGTGTATATACAGAGAAACACTGGTTTATCCTTTGCTGTTTTTGCGCTCGTGAAGCCAAAAAAAGGAGAAGGGAAGATCAGTCGAATCGTAAGAATGCGATGGCCGTGTCGAACAGAAAGCAAAACAAAGCAGTAACAATTATAACCCGCGGTTAGGGAGCCCGATGATGCAGAAGCCGGACGAACGTGGTAAACATGCTATGAGCCTAAGCGGCCCTTTGCCGAATGGAACGGCGACTTGCCAGAATCGCGGTCCTCACCACCGACGTTGGGCATTCTGCATCGAGGCCGGGGAGATCGACGTGGGCGGGCTCGTCAAGGTCATGCCAGTATTGGGGTTGACGATCGGGATAACCTTACGGGTGCGGACTGCGGACGGTTGCTGGAAGTTCACGTGATTAAGATTACCGCTAACCCCTGAGTGAACATAGGAGTTGCTGGAGGCAGGAGACAGGGAGATGGAGGGAGTGACCTGCTGGACAGGCTGGATTTGGTGCTGGAGAGGAGAGGTATCGGGAGATCCACTGGAGAGAGATGACCGATCCGAGGAAGCAGAGTGAATGGAGTGCAGCTGTAAATCAGGGGTCAACAAGCTGTTCCATTAAAGTATGGGGTCGGCAGCCAAGATATCCGTAGTACGAACGGCTGGAGAGAGAGGGAAGGAGTGCTAGGCCGGGTTCGACAAACATACATCATCTTCCGTCAGGAGACTGGGGCAAAACTCCAGGTCGTCATCCAGGTCAAAAGACCGTCCAGCTTCGAAACGGGCACGGAAAGCAGTCACAGCAGGGGCCTCAGCAAGCTCCCGCATGCTCTTGACACCTCTGAACTGGCGCTGAGCATTCTGGGCAGCCATCTTGGGTCCCCGACGGGAACGACCCCCATGGTGGTTGTTTGAGTTGGCCATGTGGGCGGCAGCACCGTGGTGAGGGTGTTGCTGGTGCTGGTGCTGTTGCTGGTGACCGTAGAAGAACGTAGACATTTTGTTGTGTGGTTGTGGCGAAACGAACGCAACAAAAGGTAAAGCGAAGTTATATCGGTAGGAAGGGTATGCTGAGGAATTCGAGGGCGGATATAAACAAAGACCAGCGCTCAGGAATCCCGACAGTACGCAACTCCGGACGGACTAGAGTAACAAAGAAAAGAGACGGAGTAAGGTGGAAGAATGACAAGCGGTCGGACGGAATGCAGTGTGCGGAAACAAGAGAAGCGGATTTGAAATAAGGAAGAAAAGTGGAAGATTGTGGGATAAAGATGGGAGAGAGATAATGGGAAGTGAATGCGAGAGTGAAAGTGTAAGAGATCGGGGGGCGGGCGAATTTGCGATTAGTGTTGTGGGATGGGGAATCATCAACGGATGGCGGGACAAGAGTTGAAAAGAAGACCGGGAGCGAGAAAAGAGTCGCAGCGCCCGGAGCGGACGGAGGCGAGAGACTGAGAGCAAGAGGGGCTGCAGTTGTGATTCGACTGGGGCTGAGCAAAAGTGCACGTCGGTGGAGATCCGCAAGGGAACATACGTGACCCGTACTTACCACACACACACAGCCTTTTCCTACCGGTGGCATCCACGAGTATGGAGGGAGTGAAAGGACATTACTGGTTACAAGTGGTTCCCTCGCCGAGGCGCCTGTAAAGTATCCGTGGTATCGTCTGTAAGTCTGTAACATCCTAGTCCCAGATTTCCCGCGCTAACTTGGTCACGCACCCAGTTTTAGGGCAGGGTGAGGACCAACCAGATCCCTGTCAATGGATCCCCAGTGGCAAGTTAATGCCCCGATGTCCAATCATATCCCCCTGTAGTGGGCTCATGGCAGCCACCGTCAGTTTGGCCAATAAAACACCGAATTTAACTGCTCTAATCGGCTACCAAGCGGGCCTTAGTGACGTCGAAAGGAAGCGATCTAGTCCCCTTCAGGAATGGAACGGCGCACCCTCTCCCTTGACGCCTAATATATGGGTGTACTCGATCTAACCGTGACGAGTGCAAGCGGCTGTCGGATGAAGACCGGGTCTCAGCCTGGACTTTAAGGCTGTATTACCGTCATGAACAGCCCATGAGTATTACAGATGATGGTGCAATGATGCCTACTTACATACATTCATTAATTGTATGATGCAGACTGCCGTTAGATAGAGAACACTGTCTTTTACAGACCTGTGGATCTGCACTGCTAATGGAGTATCAATCGATCCATCTCGCCCACCAGCGGATGCATGGATGATGACGATGGCAATGGCAAAGAACATCGTGGCAATGCTCTGTAGTGGCTCTCTGTCTGTGTTGGGTCGTTTTCAAGGTCACCAGGAGGATCCTTCCCGTCGTACCTGTACCTCGTCAGGTATCGAACCCCCAATCACTTCGTGTTCAGAAAGGGAAAAGGGCAGGTAAGAGGGAGTACACAGTAGTAGTATGTGGCTCCCACTTCCGAAGACAGGCATGCGCTGGCAAGCAGGCAAAATGCCCACTACGACACCTGCGGGTAATGATTTGCAAAAAATGTGATGAGCCCCACCGGACTAGCTACCCTCTTTTTCGTTGCTGTTATTCTCGGTACCTTTCCCTTGAACCGTGCCACTTGGTCTCGTCGGGGGGCGCTCCTTTTCCATTCTAAGCCTACCTACTATTGCCGTTTACCCATTATCTCCTCCCCTAATTTGTCTTCAACTTTCAGGGAGAGGCGCCCTCCTTAGAGTGGGCGGGCGGGACTCGGGCCATCTTACTTTGTCCTTTCCCCCCAACCATTGAAGATTGTCATTAACTAATGGGATTAATAACGGGCAGCTCCTGCCATGGCCACCCTTCGACGGCTTCGACAAGTATTCCATAAGAGAAATTAATCCTCCACTTCAATATCTGGATCTTCTCCATTTTGAGCGGATAGTCAGCTGATACTATTGTCAGTAGTACTTTCGGACCAGAAATATATTACGGAATAGTAGTAAACAAACAAATGATTTTCTCGTTTAGGATTTATGCCCGTATAAGGCACAGTTTGTTTTTGAGTCCCTCTTCTTCATTCATCTCAAAAATCAATCAGGTACGGAGAACGCCGTCAACAAAGGAACCGAATCTTGAACTGGGCTTGGCTGCTCTGCATTGTTAAGGATCTGCTCCCTGTCTTCCCATCCATCCACATGGGGCAAGCGCTACGACCACTGCATGGCCCTGCACCTTCCTCCATGCAGTAAACGTTCACAAGAATAGCAGCAATGTAGATTTTAGTATCCTCCGTAAACCCATCTGCTGTCACGACACATAGGTGTACTTCATTATCTACAGTATGTACTCGTTTCCAATAAACGCAGAACAAGTTTGCGGTCTGTCTTCCCCGACGCCTGGACCCTCCAGTGCACACGCTAAACCCAGGGGTTGAAACGCCGTATCACTGGTCAACGGTAGCGTAAATGCAGGATGGGGATGCATCTAGGGGAAGAGGAGGGGGGAAGGGAACAGACCGGTAGGAATGATGGCGGCTACTGGAACAGCCATGGCAGCATAATATATTATGGATCGGGCTTAGAACGCATGCTAGCAGGGTCAGAGCTGCTCCAAACCTGCAGACTACTGCAGGATGCAGTCCCGAGGGTAGGTAGGAGGAACGTACACACTCTCAAGCGACCTGGGATGGAATGGGGGCGCTTTCTTGTCTGCACAAGCGATTGGGCATTACTAGCCATGGATGCCAGAGTGGTATTCTCAGTTCTTACACTTTTCTCCCGTGTCCAAATTGTGCTAAGTAAACCTGCTGAGAAGCCAGCCCCCCCCATGAGACATGATTTCTGATCCCATTCGGCAAGATAATGTCCCTGCTAAGATCTGACCACCTCACCGCCCTTTCGGTAGATGGGGAATGCAACGCAGTCTGGAGTTGCCCCTCTCGGGACCAGGAACCTTGTTGTATGATCTTCATCTCATGATAGGTGCATCTCGATGCCCAAGGCAGGGGCGCACTGAGAAAAATCCGGTAGAGTCACTGGATCATGCTTATGGGGGATGATCCATACAGCAAGTAAGTTTTGCCGATAACTACTAACTAGAAAGTAGCCTCGAGGCATCCAATGCCGCTACTAACTATGATCGGACTCTTTCCATCCCTGCCGTATGTATGGTATTCTTGGTATTGAATTGGTATTTCTTTTTTACCAGATTTCATACAAACACCCCTGTTGGGAGGAATGTCTTGCAGCGCTATGAAGAAAGGCCTAGATACACAGCCCGCAACACGGCCTGGAGTGTACACAAGTATACGTACATGGCTTGATGAGCGGGGGGCCGTGAAGCGGGATCTGCTGCACTCCAGACGCCATTTCCGGAATATTTGTTGATCTCGCCTGTGTATAGGACGATAGTTCTTGTCCATCCGTCTCGGGAGGTACTCGCCCCTCAACAAGACTGGAGTTGTGCGCAAGTGTATCTCCGCCCACATACGTACCCCGAAGCAAGGGATATGAAACACGATCTTCCTGCCTAGTCTGGCCAACGGTCTCAGGAAGCGCCCAGGTTGCATTAGAGGTGTCCAATAAACGACATCATATTCTCAGTTGCTGAAAGGGATCTGAGTTGTAGCGTTCATCTATGTATGGATCTATCGGCGAAGCAGAACAGAGTGCATGGCTGAAGTGGTACCTGTGTCACGCCTGCAAACGGGAGAGTAAATCGAAATTATTCACGGGTCAACTCGGACTGAAACTCAATTGAAATAGCTTTCCAGTTTCGAGGGATAAACCTTGTAAGCCCCAGGCCAAATTGTCAGTACTACTGCCTGACTGACTGCGTGAGCGGTTCCCCGTGCAAGTTTGATTCTCAACTAGTGGTAAAGTAGATAGAGAGTAAAAAAAGCTTGAAGGTTACATACTACATCCAACGGATATACCCGATACATCCATCCACCATGATCATCTCGTGGCATAGCCTACTACAACCTGACAGAAATAGCGTCACACAGAAGCCCGATTCACCCAAACAATGTGGTCAGCCACTATCTAAATCTCGTACAGTACATACACAGCCGGATTGACATCCACGCACCCAAGCATAACGTACATCCCTTCGATCCTCCCACCCCTCCCCCATCCCTAGCTACGTAGTAGCTATCTAGGCTAAGTACCACCACATGCCAGAATGCAAATTCCCCACGCATTCCAGAATCTTCCTCTAGGAACAAACCAGGACTTGCATACATACATCCTTGTAAACGAGCGTATGTATGTATGTAAGTAATAATTAGAATTAGATACCATCGGCATGCAACAAGGGCACTAACTACTAGTGACTGCGTAAACACTACTGCAAACAGCTAGCTAGATAGAACTTACCTTGATAGACCTGAAAGTCAAATCATACATGCCGTTCAACATTGGCTTGCTCACTGACTCAGAGGGAGGAAAATCCACATTCTGACAGCTGGGTAGGACGTACTGTAGGCACTACGCAGGTACCGATGCAGGAGAAGAGGTAAAGGGGTGACCTGTTGCAATTGTTTGTTATTGGGTTCTTACGGGTCTTGGTTGTGGGGATTTGGGAAGCTTGGTTGGTGGGTGGGTGGGTTGGTTTGTGCTACTTACTTGGATATGGTCTATATGGTTTGTGGTTGGGTATGTGTCAGGGAGTAGCACTTCGATAGCACTTCGATGGGGTGATGTATGTCCGTGGAATAGTGTTGATTGCATGGAATTCATGGGTTAAAGATGGAATGAATAGTACGGTGCGTCATGTGTAAATGATGAAGGCGGCTACCGACATGCGGGATATCTAGTCTGGCCCGGAGGCAGGATAAGCGTTTGTGTCTGAAATCTGCTTCTTCGCTATTATATATCTATAGTATCTCATTATATTCTCCATGGCATCCACTTGGACTATGCGATAATGCAACTGATTTGAAACAATCTGCAACCAGCCGAAACCCGAAATATGGATCTGAAAAACCAGTATCGCTCGCGCATGACATGCTTTCCGTAATAACATGACTGACCCCCTTGAAC